CCACTCGGCATGTGGCCTTTTCATATAGCTGTTGAATGAGGTTGATAAAGATTTGTGGCACTAAAACCGTAGTGTTGAAACAACTGCCTGTCAAATTACTTCTCGGTCGACGCTGTTGAAGGCCTTTTCAAAGTCGATAAAGTTGAGTTGACTGCCATTGTATACTCTGTTCTATGATGATGTGTAGCTTAGCATAACGTTGCAATTTGATTCGCACATGATTTGTTCTTCTTGAATCCAGCCTGTTCCGGTCGTAATTTTGAATCGAGCTCATCCTTTAGTCTCTCCATGATGATGCGGCATAATATTTTGTTTGGGGTGGACAGGAGTGGAGTATGATTCTTCGCCAGCTCTTGTAATGGCTTAGGTCTCACTTCTTGGGAGTTTGACAAGGTAGTCCCTCTTCCAATCGCCAGGCAAATACCTTTCTTTCCTTCCTTCCTTTTGCAAACCTTCTGCAGTAGTGGTGTAGTGTGAGCATGTCCGCTGTTGTCCCTGCATCTGTTTTCAGTGCTTCTGGCGAAGTTCCATCTGGTCCTGCTGCCTTCCCAAATTTCAGCAGTTTTATGGCATTCAGGACTTCTACTTTTGTTGGAGGGCCTGTGTTCACTGGTAGTTCTGCCGCTGCTGGTGATATTTCTGGACGAGTTGCAGGTGGTGGTCGACTCAAGAGCTTTTTGAAGTGGTCAGCCCATTGTTAACCTTTCTCCTCTTTGGTAACTAGCTTTCCTTCACTATCTTTCATTGGTTTCATGTGTGCTGTGTTGATCTCTTCCATCCCAGATAGTAACCTGGTTATTTAATATAGTGTTGTTAGGTCTCTTTCTCTCCTACCTGCAGCCTGTTTTGCTTCACTTCCCAGTGTGTCATAGAAGCGTTTTTTGTCTTTGCACGCACTCTTCTTCACTTCTTTGTTCAGTGTTTTGTAGGTTGCACTCAGTTCCTCTTCTCGTTGTTCATCCCTGCACTGCACCAGTTCATCTTCTGCCTCACCATCTTCCTCTCTCTGCTCTATCAGCTTCCATGTGTCCATCGAGATCCATTCCTTGTCTTGTCTTGTCTTGTTTCCTCTTCCTTCCTAATACAGTTGTGCAGGTTTCTTTCCACATCTCTTTCAAAGAGTTCCAGTGCTCTTCCACGCAGGTTCCTTAAGGGATATTGCTCAACGTCTCCTATTTTCTCCTGATGACTGACTGACGTGAAGATAGATGTCCTTTGTAATTTCGTCCTTCAGTTCAGTTTCTGTTCTGGGTGTTCAACTTGAACTTGAACTGTGGTCTATCATCAGCTTCTTCTTCCAAGGCTTTCAACTTGATTTCGAAAGTAGGCTCCTTGCACTAGATAGTGAGTGGTCTGAACCTACATCTGCTCTTCTTCTTGATCTGATATTGTGTCCAGTAGGCTGCATCTCCACTTTCTTGAGATTGACATGAAGTCGATCCGATTTTTAGTGTGCCTATCTGGTGAAATTCATGTCGCTGCCTTGTGAATATCCTTGTGCATACACACTGCCTCCACACACCAAATCGTTGAATGCGCAGAAATCTGCGAACAGTTCTTCATTCTCGTTCATTTCACCGAATGGTTCTTGACCCATGATGAGTTCTCTTCCTGTGTTGTCCGCTCCGAGTTTGGCATTCATGTCGCCCATTGGAATTTTGATGTCGTCAGCTGGAGGCATGTATAGTACTGATCTCAGTTTATGCACTAAACACTGAGGCACCGAATTTTTTATGGAGGATAGGGATACTACTCAAACCTAGGCGCATGGATCCAAGTTAAAGCCTATGAAACATTTTTAAAACGTCAACCACCGAGACTAAAGAGCCATAGCTTTATCTGGCAAGTACAAAAGGCTGTATGTTCAAGTGCACGTTGGCATTGAGAACCTTTGACAAGACAACAGGTGAGTTGTGCACATCAAGGATGTCCAATCCCCATTCCTATTCAACTTTACCACAGATGTACTCATAAAGGCCTCTCTCTTGTCTTCTGACTTCACACGCATTGATCATATCGTAGGAAAATCCTTAATATACATTCAACAGTACGCAAATGATGACATAGTCTTGTCAGGTGAAGACCCTGATAAGATGCGGTCTCCTGAACACCATAAGTGGGAATTCGAGAATGTTTCGGACGCGTTTCTCACCACCAAAAATCCAAACTGTTGCTCAATGACTGGTCTTCAGCAGTCCTACGTCTAACAATAGAAAGTTAGGCGTCTGAGTGCGTTGAACACTTCACTTATCTGGGAAGTTGGGTCAGCCTGATAGGTCAGTAGCCGACCAAATCTCTGTACGGATAGGAAAAAGGCTTGAACGGTTTTCGCCAACTTACGTCATTTATAGTGCCACTGTGATATTCGACTGTTGCTAACGCTTGAATTTACTGCACTCCAGTTCGCTCCGTTCTACTAAGTGATTTTGAAATATGACCGTGTGACACGTCACATAATGTTAGTTCAAGTAGTTTTAAGCTTTAAAAAAAGACTAGAGGTGGCCAAACTAAAAAATATATATCAGTTTATGAAGTCGCTGACTGCTGATTTGAACCGTGTGGAAAATGTAGACTTTCTGGTTGGATTCGCATTGCAAATGGAGACTCTAGGTGACGTGATTTAGAGTCGACCTGATTGGCGTAGATGTATCCATGCATTATCTTCATCATATTTGTCATTATTGGTTCAGTATTTTCTTAATGCTCTTTGTCATTTTATCCCTACTTTCTTCCACTTTGCTTTCTTTCCTTTTTTTGTATTTCGTTTTAATCCTTAGTCGCGTGATGTGTTGATATGTGTGGCGACTCATGCTTTTATGTGGTGATGCCTCTTCCTCTGTTGATAATGTTGAATATGGTAAATGTCCAGCTCATCTCGCATAGGTTATTCAGGGATGATAGAACTCATTCCTAACTACATGAGGTTTATTTCTTTAGTCTATCGGGGCATGAGCAGATCTAAGGAATATACATGATTTTCGGTTCCAGTTACTTGTCACCTTACCCGAATCTCGCAGTCCAACAGTACGTGGATGAGTTTCAGTTGGAATGCAGTTCACTGGTTCATCAAAATATCTAGCAGTTGGTGCGAGACCAACACTGGCGAGACCGATTGCTGTCTCACAAGATCTCCGTATAAGCGCGCTGTAAATACTCTTTGTCAGTTGACAAGTGGTAAAGATATTCGAAACGATATACTTGTATCTTGTTTTGGTATTGTTGGATGCGACCTATATAGATGGTGGGACTTTTCTGAATCCCATCCAAACCTGCCTGCTGATTAGTCTGCATCTATGTTCGTACGTTGAAGGCAATCATCGAAGCTGTGTGTGTTGCTCCAGAGTAGTCGAATACTTTATCTCACTGAAACAACTTTGTGGATGTAGCTGTTTAGGAACTCGAAACGTTTTGACCGATTCGAATTCCAGTCAGTGACAGGCAACTGCGAAACTAGAAAACATGGGGATCCACTTGGAATTGATAATGAAGAAGCAGTGTTGTTCATATTGTAAAGATAACTGCAATGAAACTATAAGCAGGATGGTTGAGTATAACTTATGTAATGCAGTAAATTCTGTTGTAGGGACGTTTGAGCAACGTAGCAAAGCCATTATTCTCATTGTTGTCTGACGATTGATGTGTCATCCATTGTTTTGCCCGAACGACGACAGTGAAGCAGATATTTGTTTTATCAGATCGATCTTGTCTTTAGACTTCCTTCTTGTTCGATAGAGTAGCGGAACAACTAAAGTTACTGCATTCTCATGGTTTTGTGTACCCTTTCTGGATCCTATGTGCATCACTGGTTTGGGATAAGGGTTTTTTTTTAATATCCACCAATCTGGTTATGAGCATTCGCTTATGTCCTTACGCCTTTGTGAAAACACCTACGCCAGGTGATAATAATGCATAAGACTGTCTTTACAAAGGCTGTGAACGCGTAACTGTGTGTGAGCTTTTCTAGATGATTGAATTCATCCCATCACCTGCCAGGTTGTTTGGGCGCGTACATTTCTAACTGTTAGGCAGCGGTCACTGAACAAAATCTGCTCTATGCAAAATACTGCCTAGTTCTTCACAATATATGATCTACTCTACTTTCGCTATCTTAACTAACAGAAGTTGATAAATTTGGCACTATTTTTTTAATGCTTCCTTGTCCTTTTTTGCTCATTTTGGATTCGCATTCTCAGAGTATAGTTAAGTATGTTCTTTGAAGACTGGAGCTATTAAGGGATTGTGAATTTTCGCTGTTAAGTGTTCTTTTTTCTTATAATTCAAAGGTATGTCACTTTGAATTCAGTTGGTAACTATTCGTGTTTCTTTGGATCATGGGTTCGAGCCTCGCTCTACCTAATAAGTTTTTAGCACCCAGGTAGTATCACTTGCCCTCTCGCAATAAGTGTGGTTTACTGCCTACTGCAGGAATGTGCACAAGGTGGCTAAGTGCGTTCGGATTGGTTTGGGTGTTTGAACTAACACTTCAAGTTGGGCAACCAAATATCTACTTTTTATGTAAATCCAACCAGTGTATTTTGCTTACATGTAAGTGTCAGGATACTACTAAGCCGTTTTGTCTTCTATATTGTTGACTTTCACTGCAATTGGCTAATATGAAGCCTGGAAACTGGGATCCATGAGCAATCCTTCCAGATTCTAGCGATGTCTCTCTAAAGCGTTTTCTTAAATGTTTCTGCTTTATATCCGTAATTCCAACCTGTGAAAAAACACGAATACTGTCAAAAGCTGGCCAACTGCAGAAAGTAAAAATATGGGTAATATCTGCTTTCAAAAGCAATTAGTGTACAGGCTTATCTAAACTGGAAGATTTAGTAGTTATATGCACCTATTTTCATATCATTTTTCAAATATTTGTAGCTAGTTGGCACTCTAAAATTGCATCATATGTAAATCGGAATCAAATCGAGAAAACTAGTAAATATTCACTTAGATTTGCCATGTTTCCGTTCACAAATTTTTGTGTAATCGTTACTGTATAGGTCATTGAAAACGGTACGCCACTCCTGTCAATGGATGTAGATTCAGAGGACCTACCGAAACCATCGCATACAGAGGATGCACAAAATGTCGAACAAAAAGGTGAAGCCGATTTAAAAAGCAATTTGCTCACAGACTTGGATGATGATTTAGAGGCAGGTGATCTTGAAGATGATGAAGATGATGATGGTTTTGGAGTGGATGATGATACAGGTGTTTGCATTAACACTCTTTTGCCCCCTCAAAATGTAAAGGCTTGTCAGTCCAACAGTCTGTCATGCACACCTTCAGGAATGGATGTTGATAGTGAAGTACTCTCTGCAGAATCAAAGTCCAAGTCAACAAAAGACGGTTTTGGTGCTGTATCTTCTAATTCAGAAATGAACAGTGATGATGAAATGCGATGTTTGTTAAGACATGTTCAATTTGGTCGATCACTTGTAAATCTGGTCCGGCAAGTAAGAGCTAAAACAGGTGGTCTATCTTTAGAAACAGAACGTTTACTGCAAGTAAGCTGATTTCTGACAGCGTTATATCTTGAGCTCTGTCTACTTATGCATTTCAGTTTTAGTTTTAAGATTATTTCATTACTACATATATTGATTTTGTCATACTTAAACTGACCTTACACTCATAATCTTTATACATAAATCTATGTGGTGAATTATTCACTTGTTTCATCAGACTCCAGTTGGCGACATCAAAATTCCAATGGGCGACATGAATGCCAAACTCGGAGCGGACAACACAGGAAGAGAACTCATCATGGGTCAAGAACCATTCGGTGAAATGAACGAGAATGAAGAACTGTTCGCAGATTTCTGCGCATTCAACGATTTGGTGTGTGGAGGCAGTGTGTATGCACAAGGATATTCACAAGGCAGCGACATGAATTTCACCAGATAGGCACACTAAAAATCGGATCGACTTCATGTCAATCTCAAGAAAGTGGAGATGCAGCCTACTGGACACAATATCAGATCAAGAAGAAGAGCAGATGTAGGTTCAGACCACTCACTATCTAGTGCAAGGAGCCTACTTTCGAAATCAAGTTGAAAGCCTTGGAAGAAGAAGCTGATGATAGACCACAGTTCAAGTTCAAGTTGAACACCCAGAACAGAAACTGAACTGAAGGACGAAATTACAAAGGACATCTATCTTCACGTCAGTCAGTCATCAGGAGAAAATAGAAGACGTTGAGCAATATCCCTTAAGGAACCTGCGTGGAAGAGCACTGGAACTCTTTGAAAGAGATGTGGAAAGAAACCTGCACAACTGTATTAGGAAGGAAGAGGAAACAAGACAAGACAAGACAAGGAATGGATCTCGATGGACACATGGAAGCTGATAGAGCAGAGAGAGGAAGATGGTGAGGCAGAAGATGAACTGGTGCAGTGCAGGGATGAACAACGAGAAGAGGAACTGAGTGCAACCTACAAAACACTGAACAAAGAAGTGAAGAAGAGTGCGTGCAAAGACAAAAAACGCTTCTATGACACACTGGGAAGTGAAGCAAAACAGGCTGCAGGTAGGAGAGAAAGAGACCTAACAACACTATATTAAATAACCAGGTTACTATCTGGGATGGAAGAGATCAACACAGCACACATGAAACCAATGAAAGATAGTGAAGGAAAGCTAGTTACCAAAGAGGAGAAAGGTTAACAATGGGCTGACCACTTCAAAAAGCTCTTGAATCGACCACCACCTGCAACTCGTCCAGAAATATCACCAGCAGCGGCAGAACTACCAGTGAACACAGGCCCTCCAACAAAAGTAGAAGTCCTGAATGCCATAAAACTGCTGAAATTGGGAAGGCAGCAGGACCAGATGGAACTCCGCCAGAAGCACTGAAAACAGATGCAGGGACAACAGCAGACATGCTCACACTACACCACTACTGCAGAAGGTTTGCAAAAGGAAGGAAGGAAAGAAAGGTATTTGCCTGGCGATTGGAAGAGGGACTACCTTGTCAAACTCCCAAAGAAGTGAGACCTAAGCCATTACAAGAGCTGGCGAAGAATCATACTCCACTCCTGTCCACCCCAAACAAAATATTATGCCGCATCATCATGGAGAGACTAAAGGATGAGCTCGATTCAAAATTACGACCGGAACAGGCTGGATTCAAGAAGAACAAATCATGTGCGAATCAAATTGCAACGTTATGCTAAGCTACACATCATCATAGAACAGAGTATACAATGGCAGTCAACTCAACTTTATCGACTTTGAAAAGGCCTTCAACAGCGTCGACCGAGAAGTAATTTGACAGGCAGTTGTTTCAACACTACGGTTTTAGTGCCACAAATCTTTATCAACCTCATTCAACAGCTATATGAAAAGGCCACATGCCGAGTGGTCCACAATGGAAAGGTCAGTGATGCCTTTGAAGAAGACAGGAGTAAGACAAGGCTGCCGCCTATTATCACTGATGATCTTCCTGATTGTGGTCGACTGGACTAAATCATGCAGTAAACAGGGAGGAGTAGTGAGAAGAGGGGCATACGCTAGCTGGACCTATGAGAAGATTAGCCTAAGGTGATTATTTATGTCTAATGTCGCACGAACTCGAAGATCTACAGGAGAAAACTAACAAGTTGACAGAAGAAGTTGGACAGCGAAGACGGGGACTTCAAGTGAACGTAGAGGAGACGTAGGTGTTGAAGATAGCAAAATAACCAATCAGGAGCAGTGTGTATGGTGACATGCTGCTGTATCGCGATGTTTTACTGGAAACCGAAGGGAAAAATAGTGATCGTCGTTGTTTCATTAGCTTTCTGCCAGTCTGACTCTTTTTGTTAGTATAGAAACTATGTGGAGTGTTATAGGACAGTTTAAACACACCACATTATGTTTCTACTAATACGTATCAACGGTGTACTGCGGTCGATGTATTTCGCAAATATCGTTAAAACGGTTGAATATTCGAATATCAACAATTTTTTAACACATTCTTGTCTTGGTTTACCCACCGATGTTTAAGCAGTCATATTGTATTGCAGCAGTCACCCAATTTATGTTATTTATTGTCTGTTAAATATAACTTTACAGCGGACATCGAGCTTTCATATTGGATTTTGATTTTGTTGGGTTCTATCCTTACGTGAAAATCCTTACCGGACAAAGTTCTTGATATTGAAGTTGTACTATCTACAGACGTTTTTTCTATTTCCTTCGACTGACGAAAAAGACAGCATCCTCAGTGGTGCTGATTATCTAGTGAACTGCCTTACTACCATTACACCCGGGCGCAATTATAAGCTTGGGTTCACTTTCAAACCTTGGGTTTTCTTTTGGTTTTACTACTCTCCAGATAACTATCTTTGCACATTGTGAACCCAAAAATAGCTTTAGGGTGTACAAGCTTGACAGCTGCGAGAAGTTAACAGCTGAAGTTGGGATTTAAAGTGTTACCTGTCTACAGCAGTTTAAGAACAATGTGGTCTCTTGCAAGGTGCACGGTATAAACAAATCTTCAAGTAACTTAACTGTATTTCCGACCATATATACTTGAAATACCTTGATGTTATAGTCTTACTATTTTATATACAACGGTAAGAATGTTTTTCTGAATTCCTGTTACAAAATTTCATTTAGGTTTGAATGATAGCTGACTTCAATATTTGCTAACTTAATAGCGAATTTTCTCGAAGATGATCGAACTAGACTTCCATGCGAAACATTGGAAGTAGCTCATTTCAAGCAAGCCGAGATTCATACGAATATAACTCATGTTTATTGTCAATAGCGAAGTGATTGACTAAAGCCATGTGTAGTAATCAAAATGATATGGCTTTTTTCGTTGTATTTTTAGCAATCCGTTAGTTTATTGGCTTACCCATCACCTACGTCCAGTGATTGCCCTTTACGAGGTTTACTCGATCCAGTATGGCGGGATACAATAGCCAGCATTATCAACAGTGCTGTTCTAAGTAAGTATGCTGTTTAAATAAAAATAAAATTCGCGGTTATATGCATTACGAAAGTCTCTTAAAGCTATTTATTTCCGCACTCTAATTTCAGGTTTATGAAGTAAATCTCTGGAAGACTGAGGACTTAGCTTCTTCACTTATTGGTATTCTTCATATATGCAACATTGGGAAAACTTGTTTTCTCGCTTATATGGAATATTGCTCGTACTACATTCAGAAGCTTTACCATTAAACTATTTAGACTACATCCAACTATTGATATAACCCGTTTTACATCGATGAATTATATGTGGACGTATGGACAACATTAGCATTCTAGAACCATTTTCACAGCAACTACATGTTTTTAAATTATCGCATTTTAATAATAATAATAATTACGTCTGCAAATATGAAGGAGTATTTCAATTTATTTCCTTACTTTTTTCAGAGGCTCATGATTTACCAGCTCAACCAGCGCTGGAACATGGTCTGCGCGCCCTGCAGCGTTGTTTCCAAGATAAGAATTTTGTTGAGGCACAAACTCTGGGGCACTTCCTGTTGTATCACTTAACACCTGCTCAGATCGCAAAAGTCGATGAAGAGGTTGCAGCTATAGAGGCATCTGCGCAACATCAAACTGGAAAACGTTTAAGGTCTTCAATTTCACAATCTAATGGCGACCAAACAAACGAGGCTGATGGTAATACATCCTCCGGTTCTCGTAACACCGAAGTCAATGGTCATAATACTGTCCGGCCCAGGGCTCGTCGTTGTCGTCGTCGAAGACAAGTTGATGGTACTGTATCAGAAAGCCAGTCTTCTGAACATACTGATGAGTGTAATTCTTCAGTTGAGGAGGTCAATAAAGAAGAGGAGGAGGAAGATGATGACGACGAAGAAGAAGGTGGTTGTGATCTGAACAGGACGATGAGGACTTCGATAATGATGATGATGATGAAGATGGTGGGATGGCTGTTCCTTCTCGTCGACCTAATACGCGTAGTAGTGCGCAAACAACATCAGTTGGAGCCCAAAATGATCGTGATTCCTCTGAAAGTAGAGGTTCAAACGGAGGTTCTTCTGGTCGAGTTCATTCTAACAATTTTTCAAATATTGCTATACTGACACCTCTTGGCACTGTCAACACTGCGTCACCAAATGTTCATCTTGGTCGTCAAACCATACTAACCAGATATTGTCCTGCATTTTTACTAGATTCTAGCCGTACAAGACTGGGGACTGCTATTTCAACTTCTTCGCTTCCTACCCGCATCGTTCACCTGCGTTTAGTCGTCGTCTCACAACGTCAACTACCTCTGCTCAGCCACCTAGATCCGAAGAAGATTGTCAATTTGACTCTGCTTTCCAAGGTCTACTTTCTGTGTCATATCCTCAGCATGCTGAATTTCTGGCTGCTATGGATGATGCTTTAAAAGCATATGCTGGGTCTCTCCTTACTGAAGATGAACAGGCTTTCATGCCTAACCCTCAAAACCAACATTCACGAGAAGACCCACCTTCTCCCACTGGTGGTGGTGCTTGTGCTTAATTTATTATAAATAAAAATACTAACCTTCAGGGTTGTATATGGTGATTTAAAAAACATTCGTTTCACTGTTTACTACAAAGAATTTAAAATCTTGAGTCATCTGTTTTTTCCTCCGTATTTCAAGTTTTAGATCCTTGATACATATATCTATCCATTTGTACAAATTCATTTTTCTGGTATCACCTAGTCAGACGATTTGAAAAGTATTCTGTTCAAAGAGGAAATTATTTTCTGTCTGTTCTTGTTACGTACTTAACTTTCAAGATCTCTGTACCTGGCCTGGTGCTAGTTCACGTATGATTTTTTCAGTGGTAAACACATTTAAGTGAGTTTCATCCATCGATCCACACAGACAGACAATTTTTGTTTGTTAATAAACTTAAAACTTTGTAAGGGTTCACTTATTCACTTGCAGATCTTTCTGTTGTTCGACATTTTTGCTTACACGTAAATGTCAATAAAATTACCTTTAATAATATGGAGTTTCGCAGTAACCCGTATATCTTTTGACTTAGCATATTAATATTAGTTTTTTTCTGATAACGTTTTTTTCCAATAATAAGCTGCCATAACACACATAAGAGATGAGTAGTTCATACACAGAAGAGATTATTATTATCAGTAGCAGTAGTGACACACCATTGTATACATCCTCTTTTCATTTCTAGCTTTAATTATTTTTCTCTTTTTCGTGTGTGTATTCTTGTCTGATGGTTGTACACAATCAATGAACATGAGAATTGTGTAATCTTGCATGATCCGTTTTTGTGAGATAGTCTATTCCTTTCTCAGACTTTCTTTGAACACTTCTCTCTTTTCCTTTTGAAGATGAAAAAGAAGGGGAATAAATAAATATTTGTAAATGCGCATGCAGTTATTCTCAATCTTTCCATTTTCTTTTTCCCTACTCTTATCATCTTGTTTCACTTTGACATTTTAAAATTTATATTTTACTATCATTTTGCTGATTTGTATGCTATTCTTCTGCATAGTCTTTCTCTTCCTTCCATATTCTTATTCCTTAACATCACTATTACACATGCAAACTGCGAATAAAAAGTTCTATTCAACTTATTGCGCTTTCTTTTTTAATCTGTCTGTTAGTAATTAGTCTCTGGTAGTTTGCATGGATGTTAATGTTCAAGTTAGGCTTATTTCATTTATTTATGCTATACCAAATTGAGGCGCCCGACAGAAAACCCTGAACTTAGATTTCCTGACTGTCTGCATTCGTCAATCAGACGTGATAACAACCTTACGAGGAGTGATGCTGCTTCAGCATTTTTAATTTTAGTCCTACTGCTACTCTCGGAAAAGTTACCAAATAGTTGTTGAAGCCGTGATTAGCCTCAGGGAAGTGTGGATGGCTACGCTAATCGGTCACTAAGGATTACTTGATGTTATGTTATCTAGTTCATGGTGCCTGTTTAGTCCAGGTTTTCAACGTGGTTACCAAGCTAGGAGTCACCGTCACTTCATTCTTTGTGTAATGTAAGAGAGTTTGAAACCAATGGTGTTAACTGATCAGTGTAACGCACTTAGTAGCCTTGTGCGCATTCAGGCGGTAGGCACTGAGGCACACCCATTGCATGGGAGCATATGATACTACCTGGCTGACAGATCTCCTCAGGTAAAGCGGGGCTTTAGCGTGTGACCCAATAGTTGTAAGTTATCTCTCCAAACCAATGAACCGCAGTTTCACTGATAACCGATCCGCGTAACTTGACTTATTTTTACGTGTATAGGTACGAAGTATGAGAATAATTGCATAATTAAGACAGTGAACACGCCGACGTTGAGTTGCAGTTTTGCTTCACCTTTTTAAGGATGTATATTAGTGCCGTCCAAAAAATCCTTTACTTCACCATCTGGCACATAAAAGCTGTACTTGATTATCTACTGACTAGCACACTTCACTTTTTGCTTAGGATGTAATAGTTTCATTTTATCACCAAACATTACCTTCCAGTCTTTTTCTACTCTGAGAAAGAAAATCATCCTCATCGTCACAACTCGTAACTGGGGAAAAAATCAAGTGAAGTAGTTGATTAGTCGAATGTCGTGTGGAGTCTCAAAGAACAGTGCAAATATATATCACGCAACAGTATTTTTTGCATTTCATTGTTGAAACAGCAGACTACGAAAATAGTAAGAAATTTTGTTGGTAAATGCGCTTTCAATGCTTTGGTTGAAAAGGGTCTAAAACAAGTTAAGAGGAAACTAATGTTTAATCAGAACGTTTTGTGGCTTCATCATACCTCTCAGTCACAGTTATCCCTTCGTGCTGTTCACAAAGCATTTCTACCATCTGTAATTAAAAGATAGGTAAATCAACTTAGGACCCCCGGTACACAAACGCATTAGTTCAAGTTTCCATATTTCACAGTAGCATAAAAAGAAGTGGATAGAAGGGTGTGATATTATGGTATACAAAATTATATAGGAATTGTGATAGTAAGTAGGTGGAGGTTAATAAAAATATTCATGGCTTCGAATCCGAAAAAGAGTTTGTACTTCTCTGGCATCATGACCGATTTTGAGCCATTTCCATTCATAGTCTGCAGTCACATGGTTTTATCCTCTTGAGAATCCTAACGAAACAGTCTATATTGCTGTACACTGCTCGAACTGACAGTTGGGGGATTCATGAACTGATTCCAACTCTTACCACATTTAGCCTTCTAACTTAATCCTGCTTCGGTTGACGTCAAGTGTCAAGGAGGGTGGGGGTTCGGCATTTCTAAACCATCTCAATCCTGATACTGGTCTATAATTTCATCGACCTACTTGGGTAGTACACTACGCTCAATTTTGAGCTGGTCCAACTCCTCAAATAAGGGGGGAGTGGTCAAAGTATGTGGCATGCGTATATCATATTGTGTTGGTGCACATCAGTCATGAATCACTATCTTGTACTGGACAGGTGAAAAACTTAACATACATTTCTGCGGAGGGCCTTTAAAAGTGTATTTCGTCAGCATCTTCACGTCACAGGACAATGTAGTTTGCATACTATTAGTCAACCAGGTGCACTACTATCAGTAAAGCATCCCTAAGAAGTTGGAAGTACCTAGGGTTAAGTCCATTGATAAATTTGTACCAATGTTAAACAGGGACGGTGACTGCGGTAGCCTTGGGAAACCCCTAACTGTTTTGAGTTTAACTGATAACTTTATAAATCCCTTAGTTGGCTGCATTATTTCGAGCACCTAGCTTTGATTAACACTATACACTTGCTAAATATGTCTTTAACAGTCAGGAAATGCCACATCTATCAGTCAACAAAGTCAAATGTCGATCAAAGTTGAAGAAACACAGCAAGTGTCAGATTTCGACAACCATGCCTGTGTACCAGAACCTGTTGAAGGATGAAAATCTGATCGATATACTCTCGTCCAGGTCTGAAACCTACCTAGCTTCCTCGACTCTGTGGTTCTCCAGCTCCAGTTAGACGTCAGATAACTATGGATCTTCGTATGGTAGATATGAATTTGGTCACACTTATTCCCCTGTAGTTACTGTACGAAAACTTCTCTCCTTTCTTACAGACTGGATTCACTGGCGATCTAGACCAGTTTAATGAAACCCCGTTAATTCTCATTGCCCTATACTACTTCGATTCAATAACTTTACACCTTCAGCCTAAAAGCCTCTTGTGGCAAACCATCAGGTCCTGCTGTTCTGTATTTTTTCAAGTTGGAAACAGCCTCCTGAACTTTGAGTAGGGCTCGAGTATCGACATCTACGTCCAATTCAGTTTTGGGCTGAATGCTGGGCGACTGGAGCGTTGCTGGGAATCAGTTGAACTGTACTTCAGAGCACAAAACCGTAATTCTTGACATAGCTATTGAATTATTCTACATGTTATATACCTATTATGATTTTCATAGTTTTCACATCGTATCCGTTTAGTTTGTTGATCTGTAATTCCAAGCGAATGTTGATTGCAATAATGTGGCTGTCAATGGATGCAGGGTCATCTGTTGATCTCAAGCGTGAAATGTGCACTTTTTGAGACTTCACTATCTAGTCCCACTTTTCTTTGTAATACACAGCTTCTCGTATACCTGTACTCTTAGGTAACGATAAATGATACTGTTACTCATATTTTCGTTCATGGCGAATTAGACATTAGGTATATTTCATCGTAACTTGTACAATCTGATTTTCATAATTCTGAATGGGTAGTGGGTTTACTGTGTAACACTGTTATTGTATTATTTCTTCAGAGTTTGACGGTATGTATACAATTACCATGTTTGTTATCTATCTACTATTAAGTCAGTGCACTCATGTTTCTGTTGAGTATGATTTCAAATGAGTGTTTTCAGTGAATACTTAAATTGTTTTAACATCTTTATATTTATGTTTAGGTAGTGTAATATGTTACCTCAGCTAGGTAGCAATACTGTTTGTTCAGGGGTTTCAGATACTGAATGTCAGGTATTTTTCTCTGCTAGTGATGTGTGTCTTAGCTTAGTTACACTTAAGTGTTACTTCTCTCCACTTGGTACGTGCTAAAATCATAAGCTTTTCCTTATCACTACATCAAAATAGATGTAATAAACTCTTAAAGTAATGCATAATTTAACCTCCAACCACGTTTCACTTTTCATTTACTAAGAGGTTTACACTGAGTCTATTTTTGCGCAAATTTCATTTGTGATTATTGTGAGTACAATACTCACACGCGTAAACCACTCCTTTAGGGCTAGTGGTTTCTTCTATGCAGTAATGTTGTGCATATTAAGAGAATATTCCTTCTATAGGGTTAGAGTTAGTTTGATTATAGCAAAAACAATCCTTAAATACTTAGGATTGGATAGGAAAGGCAATTTAACAGGATATTGTGGACCTGAATTACATTCAAAGCCCACAGTTATCGCGAAGATGTGTTTTGATCTAAGAGGAACTGAGTTTCCTTTGGAGATCCAGGTCTACTTCATCCAACACTAGTTAGAGATATTGTCTTTAGTTGCTGGGTTTGCAGCTGTAGCTCT